TGTTCTTACAATTTTATTCTGTTCTTGACTCTTCTGTTTGTTGATTGAGTTCAGGGTGATGTTGCCATGTACGTCATTCTCTGGTTGTTGTCTGTTCTTGTTGGTTCTCAGTCCACAGAACTTCCTTTAGGATGTTTTTCATAGCAGGGTTGGTGTTGGCAAAATTCCTTAGCTTCTGTTTATCCTGGAATGTTCTGATTACACCATCATATTTGATTGGCAGCTTTGCTGGGTAGAGAATTCTTGGTTGGCTATGTCTCCTCATTGCCTTCTTGCCTGCATGGTGTCTGCTGAGAGATGCGAGCTTAATCTGATTTGCTTGCCTTTGTATGTAACGTTTCTCTTTTCCCTAGCTGCTTTCAGGACTGTATCTCCTTTTCTTTGATTTTGGATAGCCTGATTCTGATATGTCTCGCTAATTATCTTTTGGGGGTCTGCCCTTCCTGGGGTTCGTTGAGCTTCTTGAATGTTTATCTTTTCACTTTTCAGGATGTTAGAGAAATTTTCTTATAGAAGCCCTTCAACTATCTCCTCTGTGGACTTGTGTGATTCTTCCTGTTCCAGAATGCTGATAATTCTTAAGTTATTCCTCTTCACATTGTCCAGCATGAATCTTAGACCTTTTTCGGAGTTTTTCATCCTTTTTTTCTGCTTGCTCTTTTATCTTAGTAGTATTGAGAGATTTGCCCTCCAGGTCACTAGTTCTGGCTTCCATCTCTTCAGTTCTACTCCTTTGCCCTTTCAGTGTATTGTCTATTTCTGATATTCTATTATTAATCATTTGAACCTCTTTCTGTAGGTTTCGAATTCTTTCCAGTGCTGTATCTATCTTATTTGATTGTTCCTGTAGCACTTTCTTGACTTCTTTCTTATTTTTCTCAACTCCATTGTATAATGTTTTGATACATTTTACAACCAATTTTCTGAATTGCTTCTCAGGAGTTTCCAAAGCCTGCCCATCTTCCAGTATGGAGTGTAGGTCTACTTACAGCTTATTTACCTCAATCACTGTTTTTTGTTCCTGGACATGTGCTGATATGGTCATCTACTTCTTTTTTTTTTGGGCATATTCAGTAGTTATCTGTGTGGCCTTAATACTTTGATGGGTTTGTCTTTAGGTATTTTTTATGCTTTCTTACTGCTTCCAGGTAGATGTGATCAGGAGATGAGAAATTTCAAGATGCCACTGTTGGTTGTTGTGACATAACTCAGGATTTAATTTTTGGCCTATTTCCTTTTAAATTTCGAGGAGATCTGTGTGCATGTAGTAGGACCCTTTGGGAGTGGGGGTGGGGAGTCCACTCGCTCAGGCACCCCCTCTAGTCACCAGAATGGAGGTGCATAGATAGTGAGAGACCAATGAACACACATAAAAAAAAAAAAGAATGTCCACACCTTTATCTCTGCAGTTCTGTCAAGCGTCTGTAGCTGCTCTGATCCTTCCGCCACTTGGTCTTTCCCAAGATGGCGGCTCCAGGAGCAGCTGAACATCTTTAATTAGAAAGCAATAGATGTCTTGCTTCTGCTACAAATTCTCCTAGCAGTAAGCTGTACAGCCTTCTATATATATTCCTTTATATGTGGTTCAGAGTTCTGGCATCATACCCTGAGCCTGCTTGGTTCGGTATTCTGATGGGGCTCGTCACTGCACTTCTACCTGATTCACCAACTTGTTTGTTCTCCTGTTCTTGTTTTAAGATAAGCCAGTGAAAATTTTAAAACCCTAGAAAGGCTTATTTTTCAGTAGGGCTAGTTTTCTTTAAATAAATTTTATTAAATAAATACTTGCTTATTATTAATGTTTTTTATTTAGTTTTTTTCTTATGTATATAAAAGAAAACTCATTGTCCATTTATCAACATATTTTATCTTTTTGTTAGCTAATCTCAAGAAAAGGTTTGAGTCGCTCTCTTTTTTCTGCAACTAAAAAATGGTTTAGTGGCAGTAAAGTCCCAGAGAAGAGCATTAATGAACTGAAAAATACAGCTGGCTTACTGTGAGTATAATGCACTTTTGAGGTTTCTTATTTTTGACTCTGACTGGTCTGATATCTTTTAAAAAGTAACATCTTAATTTTGTGTTGGGTAAAACTCATGTACACAATAAATAACAGTAACAATAAGTGAAATAGAGCCTTCATATGGTGCTGTAGGGTAAACAACAAATTAGGCAGCTCAAACCCACCAGAGTTGCTATGGGATGGTACATAACAACATCACATATATATATATATATAGATATGAAATGTATTAATTTAAAAAACCCAAATCTTTAAGGAATAGGAAATTAAAAATAAGATAACTAGAAGAGTCACTCTACTTTATGTCTACTTTGTAAAACAGTGGCATTAGATTGTTGTTGTTGTTGTTAAGTGCCTTCGAGTCGGTTCTGACCCATAGCAACCCTGTATAGGGTTTCCAAGGAGCAGATGGTGAGTTTGAACCGCCGATCTTGCAGTTGAAACAGCTTTCCAGTCTGGCGCATTAACCCACAGTGCCACACCAGCAGCTAGATTAGGTCTTTGTTAATAGCTCTTTATATTAAATGTGGTATTGTAATTCTAAGACATAGCATGTATTTGTCAAATTTTATTTGTTTAATATAAAAATAAAGGAAAGTAAAATTAATACATTTGGATTTTTATTTTTTTCACGTGGAGTTAAGCATTTGCTTTATAGTTTTATCATGGAGAAAATGGTTGCATGGTACTAAGAAGTTAACTAGTGTAGTATTATAAATTAAATGAACATGGATGTAACTTTCTGTTTCTGAAATATCTTTTCAGAAATGACGTTTTCTCCCTGAAGGTAGATTTTGTATATAGCAGAATTAGTTTTTTGCACGATCTGATCTCTTGGGGCTTTTGTTTTGCATTTTCTAATACCTGAGGAATCCTAGTAGCATAGTGGATTAGAAGTTGGACTGCTAACTGCAGGTTGGCAGTTTGAATCTACCAGCTGCTGCGCAAGAGAAAGATGAGGCTTTCTGCTCCCATAAAGATTTATAGCCTCAGGAACCATATACTAGGGTTGCATTGGAACTGACTTGGTGGCACACAAGCACCATCACGAATGGTTTGGTGGTGGTGGTAGTGGTAGTGTGCTGTGGAATTTAGGGTCATAAATTCTAAATTAGTTTCATATCTTATTTTATATTTACAGGTATCCACCGGAAGCGCCAGAGCTACAGATCAGGAAAATGGCTGACTTATGTTTTTTGGTGCAGCATTATGATTTAGCTTATAGTTGCTATCATACTGCAAAAAAGGATTTCCTTAATGAACAAGCAATGCTGTATGCAGCTGGTGCCTTGGTTAGTAATCCACAGTATTATAACTTCTTATTTTAGCTGCCATAAATCGTTTAGAAATTTCAGCTTATGAAAGGGCAAACAAAATTCCAAGGTGTAAAGTTGTACTCAAAGAGCATATAGTGTTTTATAGGTTATGAATTAGCTCATGATGAGCTAATTTATTTCCTTCCAGTTAGTGCATTTAAAGATAGTCATATATGAAGGTTCATTTCTTAGTTTTCATTAACATCTTCCGATGTTTGTGTCAGTCTTCAAAATTAAATATGAATTTTGTTTTTGCTGTATTGAACATATAACTCAGTATTATTTTTTAAAGATTAACTTAGAACTCTTGAAAAATGTTTTTTAAGTTTTTTTGTGATAGTTTTTTTTCTTTTATTAAGGGAGATTGTACAGTGAAACCTATGGGAGATGGAACTTGACAGGACTGATTTGTTTTTCCAGGTCCTGTGAATTTTTCAGCTTTAGCAGGGGAAGACTTAATCATTTTTCTTTTACTCTCTGGTAGTGGAAAATGTTTGAATTTTCCTTCTCTCAGCTGGTTTTTGCTTTACATAAGTTCTGTCTTTCACAGATTATATTGTATGTATATTGGCTAAGAATATATACTTTGATATATGTTTGGTGAGACAGACCATGACCTTAGGCAACTTATTGAATGTCTCTAAACCTCAGTTTTCTCAGTTATAAAATGTGCTTCCTTTTGTGTAGGATTAAATTAGGGATAATTCATGTATAATGCTTTGTTTATTGCCTTGTATATGATAAGCTCTCAGTTAGTGTTAGCTATGTTATGTTCATAATTGATATGTAAACCTGGAAGTTTTAGGGAGAAAATTCTATACTTGTTAACTTATTACCTCCTAATGTTTTTGAAAATTTTTCACAAATGTATGTCACAAAATAATCTGCTTTATGTGGCTAGGAAAGAATAAGACCAGCACTGTTGTTTTCTACTGAATCTTTAAAAAAGTAAGCTTATAGACAAATAAAAAAGTAGGAAGAACAAAAGTGTATTAGAACTTTAAGTATTGTAATTTATTTATCATTATCATGTAGACATTTATTTAATAATTGGTATTAGTTTGCCTTTATTTTAATAATTGTTGTTGTTGTTGGTAAGTGCCGTCGAGTCGGATCCGACCCATAGCGACCCTGTACAGGGTTTCTGAGGCTGTAAATCTTTACGGGAGCAGAAAGCCTCATCTTTCTCCCATGGAGCGGCTGGTAGTTTCGAACTGCTGGCCTTAAGGTTCGCAGCCCAATTCGTAACCACTATGCTACCAGAGCTCCTTTATTTTAATAATAGGTGTGTATAAAAATAAGAGATAAAAATATGAAGCTAAAATAGACAAATTTTCTCTGTTTCTTTTTGTTTCTCTAATATGTTTAATGAAAAAAATCAGCCAGCTGTTCAAAAACTTGTTCAGGAACTGAAATGTAGTATGTTCAAGATTCTTTGAAAAGTTGTATGAGTTGTACTTGGCTAGATAATCTCTGATTCTTTATTCATCTAACATAAGTTAATGTGAAATCAGAAATACTCAATGTTACTTTATTAATATGTTACACATATGCATTTATCATAAAGTTTTATGTAATGTAGCTCAAAATGGAATATGTTTATATAAGTAGAATCTGTTAAAAATATGACAAAAACATTTCCTGATTTTATGACACTGTAGCATAAGCACTAGACTGTTAACCGTAGTTCTGTGGTTCAAATCCCCTAGCTGCTCCTTGGAAATCCTATGCACGGTCGCAATTGATTGGAAAAGATTCAAGGATACTTAACAAGAACAAACTTTTTCAATTTCATCTGTCATCTGATAAAGTGGTTATGTGATTTAGGTGGAGATATTAGTTACAGTTATATGCAAGAAAATAGTTTAACACTTGAAAGAAAATAAAGGCATATCTGCTATAATGTGATATATGTGTACCTGGAAATCACTATAGTTTATAAATCCTACCCTAAAAATAACAGACCTTGGGGAAATATAGAGTTGGGGCAGTTCACTTAATGTGTGTGCATTTTTGTAACAGGAGTGCTAACAGAAACATTAAGTGATATTTTGGGAGATGACCATACACTCTATGGACAGGCAACTCAGTGTGGCTGGAGGGTGCCTCAGGAAATATAAAAAATACACAAAACCAATATGTAAAAACTGGCTTAAAAGTAGGAAGGTTTGTGCAAGTGTAAGGGGAGCTCCTAACCAGTAGAGATGCCATGAAAGTGAGCACAGAGGGACTTGCAGCCTGCTTGGAGCCAAGAGCTGTGCAAGACAAGGGCTGTACTTTCTGGGCACTAAAGTCCAAGTGTTCGTTTTTGAATTTTCTTATAATACAGGTAAGAGAACTCCTATCTCTCAAAAGGCAGCTGAGCTGAGGGCATTTTCTGATCCTCTTGATGGTTATAATTCTGTATTTGCTATTTTTGTACCCTTGCTAAGGAAATTGTATATGAAGCAACCATTTTTACTGATTATTATATCCCTATTTACACTAACATTAGCTAATTAAAGCCAAACTCACTGGTACTGATTCAATTCCGACTCATAGTGACCCTCCTTTATAGGGTTTCTGAGTCTTAATTTTTTTCGGGAGCAAAATTTCTCTCATGTTGCAGATGCTAGGGGGTGTGAGCCTCTGATCTTATGTTTAGCAGACCAGTGCTTATCTTCATCGCCCCCCAGGGTTCCTTTATTAGCTAATTGTTGTGGTTAAGTGCTGTTGAGTTGGTTCCCACTCTTGCTAGGTGCCATCAAGTCGGTACCAACCCATAGTGACCTTTATGCACAGCACAACGAAACAGTGCCCAATCCTGGGCCAACCTCACTACTATTGCCATGCTTGAGTCCATCGATGCTGCCACTTGGCCAGTCCATCTTGTTGGGGGGTCTTCCTCTTTTTCACTGACCCTCCACCTTACCAAACATGATATCCTTCTCCAGCGACTGGTTCCTCCTGACAATATGTCCATAGTATGAGAGAGAAAATTTGGCCATCCTGGCCTCTAAGGAGCACTCTGGCTGCACTTCTTCCAAAACGGATCTATTTGTTCTTTTGGCAGCCCATGACACTTTCAATATTCTCCTCCAACACTATAACTCAAAACATCAATTCTACAGTCTTCCTTATTTACTGTCCAGCTTTTGCATGCATATGAGGTTATTGAAAACACCATGGCTTGGGTCAGGCCCACCTATGTTTTCAAGTTGACATCTTTGTTCTTCCCACTCTTACGGCTTATGTATAGGATTTCTGAGAAGTGGCTTTCAGGTTTGAACCACTGAAGTTGCGGTTAGCAGTTCAGTGCTCCTGTTGCCTAGTTGGAGTCCTGATGTGGTGCTGTGGGTTAATGTGCCAGACTGCAAAGGTATTTGAACTTGCAAGGTCAGCAGTTCAAGCTCAGTAGCTACTTCTTGGAAACCCTATACATGGTTGCTATGGGTTGGAATCGACTCGATGGCACTTAACAACAACAACATTACCTAATTGTTGTTAAGTGCCATCGAGTCGATTCTGATTCATAACGACCCTGTAGAGGATTTCCAAGGAGTGGCTTTTGAGTTTTAACCTCCAACCCTGTGTTTTAAAGTGACCTTGTGGTCCAGTGTTTTATCCTGCATTGCCACACCCTGACTCAATTACCTAATTAGTAAGGTAGAAATATGCTTTGGTATAAAATAGACTGTACTGCGTGTCTACTTTTAGACAAGAATTATACATAATTTTTAGGTATGTTGTTGTTGTTAAGTGCCGTCGAGTCGGTTCCAACCCATAGCGACCCTGTACAGGGTTTCCGAGGGTATAAATCTTTACGGGAGTAGAAAGCCTCATCTTTCTCCTGCGGAGCGGCTGGTAGTTTCGAACTGCTGACCTTAAGGTTCGCAGCCCGATTCGTAACCACTACGCTACCAGAGGTATGGTAACTTAATATAGAGTCCTGATGTGGCGCTGTGGATTAATGCACCAGACTACAAAGTTGTTTGAGCTGCAGGGTCGGCGGTTCAAGCTCACCAGTAGCTCCTTGGAAACCCTATACAGGGTCGCTATGGGTCGGAACTGACTCAACGGCACTTCGCATGTTCACAATTAGTTGAAAGTATTTTTGAGTTTCCATCTTTGACTATACCTGCCTTACACAGGTTCCCATACAGGTTTTTACTGTATGAAGGGCCTGCAAAAAGTTCATGGAAAAAGTACATGATCTTTTATTTTTTTTAAGTACATTATCTTTTAATTCCATTTTTCTACAATCTTTTTGAAGTCCCCTTGTACATACCTAGGAGTCCTGGTGTGGTGCTGTAGGATAAGCACTGGATCGCAAAGTCGGCAGTTCAAACTCACAGGCTGCTCCTTGAAACCTTATTCAGGGTCACTGAGTCGGAACAAACTTGATGGCACTTAACAACAACACCAGTGAGTCCTGGTGTGGCGCTGTGGGTTAATGTGTTAGATTGCAAAGTTGGTTTGAACCACAAGGTCGGCGGTTCAAGTTCACCAGTGTCTCCTCAGAAACCCTGTACAGGGTCACCATAGGTCAGAACCGACTTGATGACACTTAACAACAACAATGATTGTTGGCCAATAAACAACATCATAGTAAGTGGAGAAAAGATTGAAGTAGTCAGACTTCATTTTGCTTAGATCCACTATCAACACTTATGGGTGTAGTAGTCACTAAATCAGATGACGTATTGCATTAGGCAAATGTGCTCACAAGAACTCTTTAAAGTGTTCAAGAGCAAAGATAACGGTTTGAGGACTAAACTGTGCCTGACCCAAGTCATGGTATTTTCAGTAGCTTCATATTCATGTGAAAGTTGGACAATGAAAAGGAATACCTTGGAAGAATTGATGCATTTGTGTTAATGATGTTGAAGATACTGAAAGTACCACAGACTTCTAGAAGATCAGATCAATCTGTGTTGGATTAAGTACAGCGAAAATACTTCTTAGAAGCTAAGATCGTGAGACTTCATCCCTCATACTTTGAACATATTATCAGGAGGGACCAGTCCCTTGAGGACAGCTGGTAAAGTGGAGAGTCAGCAAAAAAGCGGAAGATCCTCAATGAGGTGGATTGGCACAGTGGCAGCAACAATCGGCTCAAACTTAACAATTGTTGAGGATGGTGCAGGACCAGGCAGTGTTTCGTTCTGTTGTGCATAAAGCTCCTATAAGTTGGAACTGATCCAACAACATTTAATAGCAACAACAACATGTAATGGAATTCTTGTGTGGCACAATAGTTTATTCTTTAAATTACTAGTAAAAAGATGTTAAGTTCAAGTCCACCTAGTGAGATACCTTTGAAGGAAAATATAGTGATCTACTTCTCCAGTACCATTCATTCAAAACTCTCAGTGACAACTGGTTTTTAATGATAATGATGTCAAGCATTTTTTCATGTGCTTATTGTTCATTTATCTTTGGAGAAATGTCTGCTAACGTGCTTTTCCAGTGTTCGAATTGGATTTTCTTTTTGTTATTGAGTTGTTAGGACTGTTTATTAAAATTTGATCTGTATTACAGCATTGCTATGGATATAATAGGATATTATACTGTGAGACAAATTCTGTAGTTTGCTCTTACTTTCTAAATCCTTTACCACCATTGTATAGTAAAATGAATTATTATTATTATTTTTTTTTTAGTAAAGTGAATTATTTTGTTAAAGCCAGTAGGCATTAACAGTATGTGTGTTAACATTGAAATAAGAAGGCCTAGAAAACCTACAGAAATATAGATCTAAGAAATAGTCTGCCTGCCTTCTGTATCCTGGTGTGGCACTGTAGGATAAGTACTGGACTGCTAACCACAAAGTTGGCAGGTCAAACCCACCATTTGCTCCTTGGAGACCCTATACAGGGTCGCTGAGTTGAAACTAACTCCATGGCACTTACCAACAACAATGTATGTAGCAAAATGTATTGATAGTGGAAGCTGGTACGAGCCCTATTTTTTATATTTGTATGCCAGTAATTTGGAAAGAGGTGCTCTTTTTTTTGCCTGTCTCTGTGAGTCCTGGTGTGACATTGTAGGATAAGCATTGGACTGCTTACTTTGAAGGTCAGTGGTTCAAACCCACCAGCCACTCCTCCTAAACCCTATACAGGGTCGCTCTGAGTCGGAACTGACTCGACAGCACTTAAAAACTACATGTTCTCTAGTCATTGAGGAATAGAAAAGAACAATGGACTATGTAGTAGCAGAAATCTGAAGTTAGACACAGTTGGGATTATATATGTATGAGGGTAAGTAAAAAAATATTGCTGCTAGAGTTCCAGTTCATACATGTACTTTGTTTATTCCAAACAAAGCATGTTTAAATATGTGCCTGTGATTAGTGGATGACTGCAGACAACTTTTCTCAGTAATGTACTTGTCTTAGACTCGTTGGGTCTTCAAACAAAAGGTCCAATTAAAAGAGTATCTTGTTAAGGGTATCTGCTGGGCCAGTTCAATTCATTGCAGAGAAATCAGCTCAGAACATTATTGTGACTGATTTTGAGCGTTCCAGAGTGATAATATTGATACATTTTCTTGAAGGACTGTCCTAGGAGCTTTTTGAAAGCAGTTTTAAGAAAATGGAGATCGCATTGGTGAGAAAAAGGTCAGAAAAGTTGTTGCACTGAGGAATTTTCCCATCAGGACAGTGCACCTGCTTGCTTTTTCTTAAAGGGTAGCAAGGGCTTTCCTAGGAGAATTTCTGTGGGAAACCTTACTCCATCCAACATACAGCCCTAATCTTGTCCTTCCAGACTTCTTTTTGTTTCCCAAACTCACCATTTAAATGCAACATGGTTTGAGTACCTCAAAGATGCCAAAACTGCCATTTTTAGCTGATGTAAATCAGAGTGAAGAATTCTTTGGGGCAGGGTTAGGGAGATGAAAGCATTGCCTTCACAAGTGTACATAGACCTAGGTAGAGGATATATTGAGAAACAATAGCTTTACATTTTGATATTTTTGTTTAATTATAGGTTTTTACAGTTTTGTAACAATACTTTTTTGACTTGCCTTTGTACACCATAATCCAAAGTGTCCTTCCTGTAGGTCTTGAAAAAAGTCTCATTTAAAAATACCGATAAACTTCAAAACTTCACTAAAGAATTATAGGCCTAAATGAGTATAACTGTATTTTCAAGTTTGCATTTATGTGTCAAATTTTACAAATCGGGCTGCGAACCTCAAGGGCAGCAGTTCGAAACTACCAGCTGTTCCATGGGAGAAAGATGAGGCTTTCTGCTCCCATAAAGATTTACAGCCTCGGAAACCCTGTACAGGGTCGCTATGAGTCGGAACTGACTCCACAGCATATAACAACATGCATAAAATTATCTAACAAGTTTTATTCCACATTTCAGGCTACATGTTGGATAAGCACTGGACTGCTAACTACAAAATTGGCAGTTCAAACTTGCCAGCCACTTCATGAGAAAAGATGAGGTTTTCTGTTCCTGAAAAGATTTTTAACCTCACAGGGTGGCTATGAGTCAGAATTGACTCTATAGCAGTGGCTTTGGCATTTGATTGGCATGTAAATTACAAGAATATTTTTCCTTTTGAAATAACCTAAATTGTGTATTTTCCTTTAGGAAATGGCAGCAGTGTCAGCTTTTCTTCAGCCAGGAGCATCAAGGCCATACCCCGCTCATTACATGGATACAGCAATCCAGACATACAGGGATATCTGCAAGTAGGTGACTATAATGTTCATGTTCTATCTATTTAGAGGTAAAGTTGGACATTTACATTGCTGTTAGATATAAATGGTTCTTTGTTTTATGTTATTCGTATCCTAAGACTTTATCTAAAAGCAAATTAATAAAGTCGGAGGCAAGTTGCTGTGATTTATTTTCCTTAAATTTTTTATTGCTCTTTCTTCTGTATTTTAGGATTTGTGCTTAGGAATTTATTATATGTAACATTGAGATTGTATGTTCTATTGAGGGTGATTTATATTATATATTTTTAGGCATCTCTAACTTTAATCCTTGTCAGGCCATGTGGAGTTAGCCAGTTTGAATGTTCCTTGTCAAATAGACAAAACATAAAGAGTTAAATAATAGTCTGGGGGGAGGGGGGAGGGAGAAAGTGAGTTCTATTGGAACTCTATAGAAATGAGAACTCATTACCTGTAAGGAGATATGGACTGCTTTAGAAGTGTCCAGAGGAGGTTTCATGGGTTGTTGGATGAATTTGAGGTACCCTGGTGGTGCAGTGGTTAGGCACTCAGTTGGTAACTGACAGTTTGGTAGATTGACTCCACCATTCACTCTATGGGAGGAAGATGTTCCAGAATGTTTCTGTAAAGATCTGCAGACTTGTAAACTCCATGGGAGTAGTTCTGCTTTGTCTAGTTGGGTCACTGTGAATCAGAATTGTCTTGACCACAGTGAGTTTGGTTTGGTGGATGGGTTAATGAATAGACCTTGAAAGAATATTGGTCAAATTTGATAGCATGAAAGTATTTCAGTAATTGTGATTGATAGGAATAATGTTTTGTATACAAGAATACTGGTGAAAGGCTGAGTCAGTTTGCTAGATGGTAGAAAGTATTGGGTAGTATACTGGGAAGTTAGTTTGAGATAAATCATTGTGGGAAGCCTTAATTGTCATTTATTATATTTATTATTAAGCTATAGTGAGGAATTATATAGTAAATGGGGAGGTACTGAATAGTTGAGTAGAATCTTAACTTATTAAAGTATTTTTCTAGAAAGAAATCTGACTTTTCCATGCAGAATGAGTGGATTAAAAGACAGAGATAAAAAGGCATGTTTTCTAAAGTAGAAACAGTAGTAGTATTACTAATGTGTTTGCAATATTACAGCATTAATAGCATATTAAGAATGAATATTTAATTAGTGCCCATCATTTGCCACTGTGCCAAAATAATTTTCATGCTTATTTAATCTTCACAGCAAACCTATGAGGTCCTGGCTTCTATTTATTATTCTCATTTTATAGATGGAGAAATGGAAGTTTAAAGAGATTAACTTGCATAAGGAGAGCATACAGTTAATAAATGTTGGAGCTAGTATTGATCTCATCTTTTAATCTAGCCCAGAATATATTTAGTGATTTTAGCAGAAGATACAGCCTCCTGTGAAGGAGGAACCACTGAAAGAGACTGGAAGGAAGGCTCTTGAGGTACAACTCCGAGAGTGAGGGACCAAGGAAGCTGTAGGAGTGTTTCAAGATGACTGACTGTTCTTTTTCTGGCAAGCTCCTTGTCTTCATGAAGCTCAGAGCTTTGGGAGAGATGTACATGTAATGATGTAAAATAAAATTAGGAAAATACCTAATAACCCAGATAGCCAAATAAACCTTAATAGTACAATTTTGTCCTGTCCACAACAGATGACATGGTTTTTCTCAGTACAACTGTGTATTATCCTGTACAATTGTTAACATTACCATCAATTTAATAATAGTTTGGGAGACATATTAATATTAAGATGTTTATTGATCTCAAAAGTATTAAAATATGACTTTTCATAAAATACAGGCAATACGATAGTACTCTGGCTTTCGCTTTGCCCTTTTAGAATGTCGTGGTCTCCTTTCTAAGTGAGGAAATCCTGCTTATCCTTAAAAGACTTTCTTAAGTTTTACTTTTTATGAAGCTTTTGTTTTCCCTTTTTTCTCTCATCATAATAAAAGCTTACCTTCCATTTATCTTCTGGTTTGTAGCAGTTTCCACTTTTAAGATGGGGATTTTGTCATAGAAATGTGTGAATCCTTGGGAGTTGCGCTGTCTGCATGAGGAAGTAGGTGAAGAGTCAAATATAAATAAGCAAAATAATAGTGTTAGCTGAACTTGGCACATTGCTTGACTATATCTGGGCCTCAGTTTCCTCACCTGTAAAATGGACATAATAATGATAATTAAAACAACAAAAAAATTAAAAAATAAGGGCATGTATGAAAGTTAATTAAGAAAAAATTCAAAGAATTTATTATATGTGAATTTTGTTGCTGTCGAGTCAGTTCCACCCCATAGCGACCCTGTATAGTTTTTGCAAGGAGTTGCTGGTGAGCTTGAACCGCTGACCTTGCAGTTCAAACCAACCTTGCAGTTCAGCGCATTAATTTGCAGTACCACACCAGGTATTTATAATTAAGGGTTAGTCTTATGGTCTTCAAACCAATTTTAGGTATTGAAAAATACTGACCTTCTAAGAAAAAAAAGGACTTGTTAAAAAGCTTATCACTGCAGTGAGTTTTGAATGTTATAAATTATAGTTTTAAAATAACTATTTAGAATGGTCTTCCACAGTAAAAGTTAGCTGAAGTTTGTTGTAGCTGCAAGGCACTTAACAACAACAGCTTTGGTTGTAATTTTAAGACCAAGAGATATTTTAATATAAGGATTGTTGTTGAGTGCCACTGAGTTGGTTCCGACTCATAGTGACCCTGTAGGAAGATTTCAGAGGAGCAGATGGTGAGTTTGAACTGTTGACCTTGCAGTTCAAACCAGCTTTGTGAATTAAAAAGTAAAAAGAAAAATTTTGTTACTGTTTCCCAACAAGAGGATACCATCTTTTAATTTAACAGTGTGTTTTCATTTATTTTTAACATTTTTTAAGAATAAGTAATCTGTTTGTTGACTATTGATACAGTAATACACAAAGAAAAATTGACTGTGTATTTTTACAAAGGAAATTTGGCTCAGGAATTAGGCAACACCAGCCCTATTCCATCTCCATTTGAAACATCTCAGTGGGAAGACCAGAGGGAAAACACCTAAACAGTTCTAAAAGTAGCCACCAAAATGGAACATACGACTAGAGTTTTCAGTGAGGAAAGAGAAGGAAGTATAGGTGGAATATTTATAGTCTTTCTATTCAGAGCATATTTTTATTTGTGAATTAGCTACTAGTTCAGAAATTTCATCTATATTCTAGCTTTTTGCATGTAGGATATATGACTTTATATTGTATATGAATTGTAAAATTAAATAATAATAACTTTTTGCAAGTTATAAGAATTCTTTGAAGATCTTAACCTTTATTTGGAAGTGGAAAATAAGGGTAAAAACATCTTTCTTGAAAACTGGATTTGGAAACTTATGCTGAATACAGGTTTTCTTGATATGCTGAAATACTATTACAATGCTAATTCTATTTTTTTTTTTTTTGTCTCTTTTTCCAAAGGAATATGGTGTTAGCTGAAAGATGTGTATTGCTTAGTGCTGAAATTTTAAAAAGTCAAAGCAAATATTCAGAGGCTGCAGCTCTCCTAATACGATTGACCAGTGAGGTACTGAAACTGTATAATACATTGTATAGAAATGATGTTATTTTGTATATGGTCATTTCTTTTGAAACTGTGGGTTTTTTTTTTTTTTTCTTCTTATGTACAAAACATAATTTGGGGAAATTCTCTTTGGGAATTCACAACATGGTTACTTTAGTTATTTATTCATTGAATTAATTTTAAATGTGATTTTTTTATAAAGTTGAGTGTATTTGCAGATTGTAAAAGTATCTTCATTAGTATTAACCACAAACATGCATTAGGTCTCTTTTTTGGATTATGTTCTGTTCTGTGCATAGCAGTATTTAAAGTCACATGCATGTTCATTGTTTCTAATATAAAATTGATACCTAAAAGAATAATTATTGATGAATGTTTGATCTTATTTTTGACTAGTATGAACTTTTAAAGAATATCAATATCTTAAGCATTTAAAATAAAAACTATATTATAATATCTAAAAAAAAGAAAAAATCAATTTATAGCTGCTTTTGATGACTAGCTTGTAAAGAATGATTGTAATTCATTTGTAAGTATGATTAAAGACACAGCCTTTAGATAAACACTCTTAAAAAAAAAAAAAGAACAAAATCAAACACTTATTTGCATTGTAGATATAATGTACTTTGTGGTTTTAATCCTTGGATTTTACTTTGTACATTTTTTGAGTGATTTTGTTCCCATTCATGATCTTAAATTTTAAAGCTCCTGAACCTTGATTTGTGTGGTCTTTTATTTTAGCATTGTCTATATGAATGTCTTCAAGGCAGATTAAGTGGGCATACCAATAAGTAAACTCATAAATTTTTTTACATGGCATATTGTGATCTTAAATTATGTTATCACTTGCTAGCTTCTCATCTGCTCTAGGCAAAAACTGCTTGAAATGCTCTTATATTGCTCCATTATATCAGTAACAACTGGGAGAAGGAATTAACCTCTTGAATCTGTTTTCTCTTTATATCTCCAGATATGTCACATTATTTATTTTTTATTCCTTATTTTGTTAAACCCTTACTATCTTCTTGATTCACATCTTTACCTTCCTATGGAACTATGGTCCTTTTCCTCTTCTTCGCCTAATCCTGATACCAGTCTCATCATTTAGATAATCTTAACCAGTATCCTAAATTATCTTGAATATCTTTGTTTACCCTCTCAAATGATGCAAGATCCAACTTGCTGTATTATATTAGAAGTTATGTTTAAGCTGTTGGTACTTCAAATGCAGGTAACTGTGTTGCTGTCTACATTTTTTTCTCTAGGCCTTAATACTAGGCTTGTCATATGATAGATGCTGTACAGATATTTATTAAGATGGAACCTTCTAGAGGTTCTTCTAAAAGTAATTCTGTAAAATATTACTACTTGAGTTCAGGAGTAAAATTTAAGATGTTTAAAAATTGCTATTGAATGACCAGTGACCAGTATGAACACATATCATACATAGACTAGTTGGTAGAATTGAATATAGGCTTTTTGGTGCATTGATGTGTTCTGTATTATAATAAATAATTTTATTTGGGTTTGAATATGTTTCTGAATGTTTATCAATAAATGTAAAATAAATTTATGGTTCAGGAGCTTGAATAAAAATTTTTAGTGCAAATTCTCTTTACATTATAACCTTGTTTTTTCTTCTAGTCTTCTCTTTTCCTTTCCATCTATTTGTTTTCACCTTTTTTTTCTCAAAATTAGATGATAATATTTTGTTAGGAATATTCTCATCGTGGAGAATTTGTTTTTGTTCTTTACTGTCTTCAGATATGGGTGTTGTTATTTAGTGCTGTTGAGTTGATTCTGATTCATAGTAACCCTGTATAGGGTTTCTGAGAAGTGGCTGGTGTATTTGAACTGCCACCCTGTGGTTAGCAGTCCAGTGCTTCTACAGCACCATACCAGGACTTCACTTGCATGAGGGTAAACTTCAAAAAAAACAAACAAAAATGACACCAACCATCCCTCCCATAGCACTACTGAGCTAGGTTAGAGCATTCATTGCAGTGGCCACACAGAACTCAGACACCAGACTCACAGATTCACAGTTAGGGGGTTTATATTAGGGAAGTTAACAGGTTACGATTCAGGGTCAGAAATGTTCACAGCACAGTTCTTCCAGTCAGGACAGTCTCTTTTCTGCCGTGTCCACAGGCAGGTCTCTGTCTGGCCCTTGACTCCTTGGTCTGGACTCTACCCTGCTCCTAAAATGTTATATAAAGTTCTTTTAGAGCTATTGATAAATGTTCACAGGGCATACCATTCTACCACAAACTTTAGCTTGAAGGTCCGCAAACCTAACCTAACCTCACCTCAGTTGAGGCACCCTACTCTGCAAGCAAGCCTCCTGTCCAGAGTCACTCATCTTTCCTTGTTCTGTGAGCTGGGAAGCCCACTGCTCTGGTACTCAGGCTTTAGGTTCTTCTGCTTCTCCTTCACCATTCCTCTGCAGCTCCTTTAGTGTCAGGGCTTTCAATCCCTGGGTGGATGAGGTTCAGTGTGCAGTGTTTTCCAGAGTCCACTGTTAGCAATTCTTAATGGTAGTGAGATCTCCCATTCTGCTACTGAGGTGGATGCCTCATTTTATACCCTCAGGGTCTCTTGAGTCAGAAACAACTCAATGGCATTGAGTTTGGTTTGGAGGCTTAATGTGTATAAAATTATGTTAATTTGTATTGATTGTATCTGTTTTATTAACTAGAAATGCTGTATAATATAGTAAAAAGTGGGAGAAGGATGAAACTTTCTATTCCTGGGAAGATTCACAGTCATGGAAACTGACACAGAGTTGCTATGAATTAGAACTGACACTTAACACTTTAACAACAGAGTGAAAAGTGCTTTGCCTTGAGGATAGGGAACTGAGTTGTATATTGAGATATATACAACAGGCTCTTTGCATTCATAAATTGTGTTCAGTAGATTTTTGCTTAATAACATTGTAGCAATATCACATCTGTGAGGCTGTGGCAAAAGAATTGTTCTTTGACTTCATTTAATTTTAAACTGCAAATTTATGGGCAACAGGATCTTATTTTATACACTGGGATTCTCAGAATGATAAAACATAACCACATTGCCACCATATAGGACAGTGTATCTGAGTTTGGTGCTTAACATGTAATGCTTTTCTCTACTTGTGTGTGTTTCTGTGTTGTACATTTGCTCTGGTGTTATAGTTGTCTATGTTTTAAATATGGGGAAATCAGTTTCTCAGTCATTAATTACAGTGTTTTAGTAACTTTCTGCTGCTTTGCAGGGATTGTCCCTGTAGCACGTTGATTAGTTGATAGAACCTCTCCATTTAATTTTACAGTTATACAAAGAAAAAAAATCTTAAAGCCAGGCTTTGTTTGAGATTTGAGTCAGTTAAGTAGCTATAACTTTTTTACTGGTACTTTTTTTTTTTTTTTAATTTTTAATGAATTTAGAAATATCTTTTCTCACAATTCTGGAAGGTAGAAGCTTGAATTTAGTATAACTTTAGGGACAGGTCCTTCCTTTGGCATTCCTGGGCTTGTAAATGATTTCTTTTTCTATTCTCTGTCATATATATATGTCTATGCTTCCATTTCTACAACTCTCAATTGATTGGGTTTAGTATCCACGATCATCTGTGTTTTCATGAAAATCTTTGCTCAGACCATAGGTATATGTTTTCTATACATACCCTCATAAATTAGTGTTTTTTCAGCTTTTGCTAAAATCATTTCTTAAATGTGGACAAAGTTTTCAGAGGTAAAGGTCTTGCTACAGAGTTATTATATTTTATTTGCTGCAGAACCATTACAGAGATTTTTTCCCCCCTCTCTTGCTTTCTCATATATAATGGACTTGTTGTAGATATAAACTGCCCCTAAATTAAGTTTTAATTTTCAGTTCATCCAAAGACTGCTTTCTGAATAGAACTGTCATTTTATTTTGTTAAAAATAAAATCTTTCTGTTTCTCTATTTCATCTACATTGGTGGCCATTGTCATTCTTTTCAGAGACTCCTTTTTGTTTTCAAACACAGTTTTCACATTTTCGTGTCACTATAAGAGAGAGGGTTATGGGTTTATGATGAACAAAGCTGCCATGAGATATGAATATTAGATATTCAGCTCTGAAAATGGATTATTTCTCAGACAACTGCCTTACTTTATACAAGAATCAAATTAGTATATGCCATAAAATTTCAAGTTCCTTTTGAATTGGCCAGTCCAAAAAAGCCCTGCTGTCAAGTAGACTCCAATTCATAATAACCTTGGATCGACTTTCTGAGGCTTCAGATCTTTTCCAGAACAGTAAGCCTCATTTTCCTTCCTTGCAATGACTGTTAGGTTTGAACTGATGACCTTGTGATTAGCAGCCCAACATGTAACCCACTATACCACCAGAGTTCCTTCAAATGTGAGAATGCCGAGGTCTTATTGCAGTGGATCTTAACTGGATGGTACATTAAAGTCATTTGCAGAATAGAAATATATGCAGGGTATATTCCTTATCTTAATAAGAATGTTTGGGTTCCTGTGCATTCAAATTTTTGGTTTACTGAAAGTTCACAAGCAATTAAAAAATGGATAGATAGATGATTGATGGATGAATGGCTTGTATATACATATTTGGAATAAATTTAATATATAGAACTGAAAGAAAAAAAATCTATGAAAGTTTGTCAAGAGGCCTGAACAAGATCCTGAAATGAAGAAGAAATTAGAGGGTGTTACCTGTTCTAGATATCAAATGTATTAAAAAGCTATGGAAATTAATGCTAATTATAGTAATAATGGAGTAGAATGGGAATTTTAATATTGTATGTAGTTAAGAGGAGTTCTGGTGTGGATAAGCACTTGAAACGCATCATTGGCTTAAACCGTATGGTCAGCAGTTCAAACTCACCAGCTGTTCCTTAGAAATCCTGTACAGGGTCGCTGTGAGTTTGAACTGACTCAATGGTACTTAACAACAACATTAATATAATTAAAATGTCATCTAAAATCCATGGGAAAAAATAATTTCTTCAT